TGGGTTGGTGGAGCAGGTGAAGGGGGGTGGGAGGGGGGGTGCTGGTCACTGTCATCAGGGCGAGCCTCTGGTGTTTACTGAAAATTCTTTACTCCCATGTGCCATGGTCACACCCGACGCTCACACTTGGCACCGGCCCTGCTTGCACCCATTGCTGATGCTTAACACCGGTCCTGATCGCTTGGCGCTGTCAGCGGGTGTGAGCAGCGGCTGCTTGCCCTGATCACCTCTCAGGGCTTCTCCACTTCCCCCCGCTCCTGAGGGGCCATCTGGGCTGGCTGTCGCCTGTCGCACCCACTTCCAGCCACTGCCCCGCTTGCACCCACTGCTGGCACCAGCCCTGCTCACACCCGTAGCTGGGCGTGGTAGCGGTGGCAGGAGTGGGGCTACTGGCAGACAGGGGACAGGGGGCCATGGTGGGAGGGGCCAAGCAGGGGCACGGAGGATGGCCCAAGACCCGCCCTGGTGCCCACCACAGCCTCGCAGCCCACAGTTCCTTTCAAGATGCACAAATTCGTGCACTGGGCCCCTAGTGTAACTATAATTGAAGTAGTCACATTGTATCAGTTCATATATAACGTTTTTTAAAAAATTTATTTTGTCACTCTCTACTTAGTCTACAGACTCCTAAAAGACAGGGGTTTTAGTCTTTTTTTTTTAAAATATGTTTTTATTGATTTCAGTGAGAGGAAGGGAGAGGGACAGATAGAGAAACATCAATGCTGAGAGAGAATCTTCCATTGGCTGACTTCTGTATGCCCCCTACTGGGGATTGAGCCCACAATCTGGGCATGTGCTATGACTGGGAATTAAACTGTGACCTCTTTGTTCATGGGTCAATGCTCAACCACTGAGCCACACTGGCCAGGCAGGGGTTTTATTTCTGTATTGCCAGTACCTAATCTGTACCTGGTAATAGTAAGTAATCACATATATTAATTGAATGAATAAGTATCACATCATTTTTATTCCTAAATCCTATAACACTGATTTCAGTGTCTGACCTTAAAATAAAAAGCCACCTAGAACTGCTATTCTTTCCTTTTTTCTGTATATTCTAAATAGATAGAGAACAAATTTTCAGTTTTAGAGTTTCACAAGCCAAAAGAATCCTGTAGAATCTTTGTCACATTTTTAATGTCAGTCATTATTCAGATTGCTTTCTTTGGTGGTTTATGCTGCAGTGGCATTGGAGCCATGTCTCAAATTAGAGGACATTCCGCTTTCTCATTGACTCCCTTCATTGGCTGCTCAAGAGCTAAGGAATGGTTCTTTCATTCTTTGGTTCTCTGTTTTCCTTTGGTAGTATTTTTCCTAATTGTTTAAAACTTAGTAAAAGTAATATTATTTTTGAGGAAGGAGCTAGGGATTCCCTGAGGTTAGACAAGTTTGATTTATTCTGTTACTTTTGGGTTGATGGCAACCATTTTGGTGAGGTCTAACATGGAGAGCTAAATTGACCACTAGAGGACACCAAGTCCTTTTTTTTTTAGAAATGTGAAGAGGTGCTACTGAGAAAGATTAAAACAGATTTATACTAAAATTGGGAAATGGATGTATCTTCTGTAGGTTGAATGTGAAGGAAAGTAATAATTTTTCTTTCCAAGGCCATGGAAATAGCATCCCAAAGGACCAAGGAGGAAAGGTCCAACCAAGATCATGTCGATGAAGAGGTAAGACTTATCTGTTCATAGCCTTAGGAAACACTTGTGCTTTGAGGTCTTTTAAAAAATATTGTTAAGGCATGAACTTGATTTTAATAAATAAGCAGTTCATTACATAATTCCACTCAGCAGCCCATTAGCCCAATGTCCTAGGTGGAAAACATTTTAAAGAACCTATTGAAGTATCTGATTCAAGAAGGAAAAGCCGGTTTAGTTTGCAAATGTGGACTTTTATTTTTTTACTTATTTTTTAAATATATTTTTATTTCAGAGAGGAAGGAAGAGGGAAAGAAACATCAATGATGAGAGAGAATCATTGATCAGCTGCCTCCTGCATGCCCCCTACTGGGGATCAAGACTGCAACCCTGGCATGTGCCCTTAACTGGAATTAAACCCGGGACCCTTCAGTCCACAGGCTGGTGCTCTATCCATTGAGCCAGACGGGCTAGGGTGCAAATGTGGATTTATAAATAATTTAAATGTTGATTCCAGTAATAATTAGAATTTAAATATTTACGTTTGTTAAAAAAGAAAATTATTTTAATCTTGGGGATCAATATATTTTTTGTGAAGATGATCCATAGTAGGCTTTATTTTATTTTATGTTTTAATTCTCACAGCTATTAGGGTGCTGGATGACTACAAGGTACTCTATGTTTATCAGCAGTTCTAAACCTTTTTTCACTGTAGCACAGAGTGGATAATGTTCCCGTGTCAGAACATAAGGCACAGCCAGGCAATTACATTCCTTTCTCTCCAACTCAGAAAAACTTTGTGGAATGCAAACGAGGAGAGAGAAGTATTATTCTAAGGGTAACCTTAAATCATATTCAGTCTTTTATCATCGGTAACAAATTACTTTTGGCATAGCACATAGCACGTGCTATACCCGCCTGTGCAGGCAGCCTGGCTGAGAACTGGTGTTTTAGATGATGGGGATGGATTTTTTTTATGACTTGATGGGAATAAGGATGCTGAGCAAATGTGAGAAGTATGTGAATGGCAGTTTCGATTTTATTTTCCCTCTGTGTTTGTTAGGTGTTTAAGCGAGCATATATTCCTAGAACCTTGAATGAAGTAAAAAATTATGAGAGGGATTTGGATATAATGATGAAATTGAAGGAAGAGGACATGGCCATGAATGCCCAACAAGACAATGTAAGTAGCTGGGTTTATATGTAGCAAACAGGTTTACAAAGAAAGCTACCTTCCCCAACCTGCAATCTCGAATGTTGGCTTCTGATCTAGTGAGATGGCTAATTGCATTAACATGTCCTTTGGGCACATTGGCTATAAAGGAAATACATTGGTGTTTATGAAAGAAAATGATACAGTTGAATGAGTCCAACAGACTGTAATTGCAGAAGGAAGATTTGTATAAAAGTCTAGGATATAAATGGTATTATACTGGATCCATTTGCCGGGGTCCAACCCCAGCAGGTCCAGGGGTTCCCAAAGGTGTGGACGGAGTCGGCGAAGAAGGAATGACACGGAGACAGCGTTCAGTTGATCAGCAGCCTAGCCAGGATCTCCAGCCAAGTTCTGGTCTGGATCTCCAGAGAAGTTCTGCCGTTTATTGTCTTGTTACATCCGTATTTGTACCAGTTGATTTTAATCCTGTCAATTTCTATTACAAAGGTTAGGGCGTTTCTTATCTCCATTCCAGGGAGTAAAGATTATGTAGCTTAAGCATGTTTGTTTGTAGTTAAAGTGATTAATTCACTGCCTGGCACTTAGTGAAGAGGGTTTA